GCACGCCTGTGAAATTTGTGGCAAAAGCTTTGGATATTTGAGCTGCTTGAAGTTCCATGTCGATAGCCTTCACAAAAGTACGCCACTTTTCGACCAGTTAATTACTTAAATTGCTTCATAAATTGTGTATTTTGCATTTTATTAATTGTTTGGGCTTTATTGGTATGTTTGGTTTGTTTTTCCCGCAAAAGATTCTACCATTCATATGCACGGAAGTACTGAATATCCTGGTCTTGAAGATACCAACGATTATGATGATAGAGGACCAGGTTCCGGAAAGGGGAGTAGTGGCGATTACTGCTATATGCCCGCGGACGAAATAAGATCGACAGTCACTCGAAATGCCGATGGCTTCATGCCGAGTTCCAAGGAATTTAGGGTTACGGCAGAGGTTGAAGGAAAATCCGAGATCTTGGGCTGTTTGATCAAATACCATCGCAGCATATTTTATGCAAAATTCTCAGTCCTCAGAGTCGTTGCTAAGAAAATGCCATGACGTGACGTGTTATTTTATTTTAACCCAAACCTGTAGATGATGATCTGACCAGTAAACTTCATATTGGGCGAAATAGGTGCGGGTGCTTCACTCTGATATATCCAGGCACGGAATGCTTAAAGGCCAGATCCACTGCCTCCTCTGCTTCAAAATATGTTGAGTCACGAGGAAACTCTCAGTGTTGCAATTGACGCCACCCCTGCCTATAGGTGTGGTAGAAGTTTACAAGGCTGCAGTACTCGTCAGGGTCTTGGTGGCCTCGGCATAGCACACTGGCACTATTGAGATGAAGTGCTGTTAGTTGCCTCTCGAGTATTGCGAATTGTTCCTTCAACCAGGTCCGTTGATTACACAAGGGCTATTTATAGAGAGCAATGCATTGTACTGTGGAGGAAGTTGTTGTGGTTGCAGGATCAATTGCAAGGTAAGTGGCTTTAGAGCCACGACTTGCGGATCTTATTTAGATACCGGACTCTGGCAGAGGATTTTCGGACGGTTAGGTCGATCGACGCTCTCAGTCTGTAGTCGACACCAAACTCGTGAACTCTGGCGACCATCTCGGCTGCACATTCCATCAGGTGTTCATTGGTCTCTTCCTCCCCACAAGCTGAACACGTAGAATCATCAGTCAGATTGTACCGCTTCCTGATGTGATTCAGCTTTGGACAAT